ATACAGATCTAAATCCTATCAGGGAGGTGATAATTTCATTACACAAAAAAAATTTCAAAAAAAAAAAAAGTCAAGCTGATATTTGGAGACGTCTAAATGATATAAAAGTCAGCAAATCATTGATTAGTCAAACAATTTCTCGTTACAAAACTACTGGGCAAACAATTCCAGCTAAAACTAGAAAAAGAAAGCGCGTCAAGCGCACTCCAACAATCATCAAAGTGGTAAGAGAATGTTTACGAAGAAATCCTGCTCGCTCAGGTCGGCAGCTAGCTAAAGAGCTGAACATGTCATATACCTCTATGCTAAAGGTTATAAAACAAGATTTAAGACTTAAGTGCTACCGTAAACAAAAAATTGCTGGCCTCACTGACAAAAACAAGGTGGAAAGTCAAGCGTTGCAAATCGCTATTGAAGCGGCAGGGTGGTGCAGATATTGTTTTTTCGGACAAGAAAATGTTTACTTTGGAGCGCTCGTTGAACAGACAAAATGACAGAGTTTATGCTGTAAAGCTCTCTGATGTTCCTTTAAACGTTAGAACTGTCCCTCGTTATCAGAACGCTTCGGCGGTCATGGTATTTGGGGCCATCTCGAAAAAGGGGAAATTTCCTCTGAAATTTATTGATAGAGGGGTGAAAATCAACAAAGAATACTACTTACAGAATGTGATCAAAGATTTGATTGAACCTAAGGCTAAAGAAATGTATGGTGATGATCCATGGTTGTTCCAGAAAGATTCTGCCCCTGCACACAAGGCTATTGTTGTTCAAGATTACTGCAAGCAAAATTTCCCAGATTTTATCGATACCAAAGAATGGCCTGCCTTGAGTCCTGACCTCAATCCCCTTGATTTCTTTGTCTGGGCATACATGCTACAAGAACTGGGGAAGCATAAATTAACAACTTTGGACCAATTCAAGGAACTTTTGATCGACATTTGGGACAAAATGCCACAAGAAACCGTGCGTGCCACGTGTGAAAACTTTTTCAAGAGATGTTGAGCCTGCATAAAAGCAGAGGGCGACAGGTTCGAATTAAACCAATAAAACTTGTTAAATAAACTTGTAGCTTTCTATTGATACCACTTTCGAATTAATATAAATCTTAAATTTGAAAATATAGCTTACTTTATGTGTTTCACCTTATGGTTGTCACCCTGTATATATATATATATATATATATATATATATATATATATATATATATATATATATATATATATATATATATATATATATATATATATATATATATATATATATATATATATATATATATATATATATATATCAGGCTTGGGCAGGAATGGCGTGCGATCGTACTCTGTAACTGACCATGCTAATATTTTTATTTCTTTACAACTTGACCACAGCTATTTTGATGTTTTAACAATTTGAATGCAATATTTTCTTATGCCTTCCTAAAACATTTTTAAAACATTGTTTTTAGAAAGAATTTTTTTCTTTTTTTACAAATAAAATAGTTCAAAACCATTTTTTTAATTAGGCTCGCTAAATAGAGCATGAAATTAGTAAAAATTACTATTTTAAAAAGACTACGCTGTTTTTTTAAACAATTTTTTTTTTGAAACTTTTTTTTGATAAAATAAATGTTTATACAATTTAAAAATATTATATAAAATATTTTTTTAAAATTTGATAAAATTTGTTCTTTTATTAAACCAATTATCAGTAGTAATTTGTTACTTATTTTAAAAACATTTTGCTTAACTTTAATAACGCTTAAAAAGATAAGTTTTTATAACGTTTATTTCATACGTAACTAAAAACGTAACAAATAGTTTTGCTTTAAGTTTAAGTTTTTATTTTCATTTTAGTGCTTATATAATTTCTTTTTTCATTAAGAATTTTTTTTTCGTTAGTTTTTTTTTTTAGTTTTTTCCTAGTTTAAGTTTAGCTTAGCATGACACCTTAGGAGTGACACCTAAAAAAAAAGAAAAAAGAAAAAAAAAGGAAAGACAGATAAGCAACAATAACAATAAAGAAGATTAAAAAAAAAAAAAAAAGAGGAAAAGAAAGTTAAATGTAATAATATTTATAAAAATAATCATAGTAACAATAATATGAATAAAAATAATATAAAAAATAATAACTGCAATATAACAGCGTAAAAAGAATTATAAATGATAAAGCAATATTAAGATAATTATAGTATAGTTAATAATTATAAAATAAAAAATTTAAAGAATAATTATAACAATAATGATCAAGCTACTGCAACTACTGAACGACTTTGACTATCATTATAAGTAATAATATTAAGGCAACAAAAACAAAGATATAAATAATAATAGTAATGACAATCATAAAAATAGTAGTAGTAACAATGTAAATTTTTTGACACCTTGACCACAATTAAACAATTGTGGTCAAGGTGTCAAAAAATAAAATCATTTGCGTAAAATCAGCAACAGCGCCCCATCGCACGCCATTCTTGTCCAAGCCTGATATATATATATATATATATATATATATATATATATATATATATATATATATATATATATATATATATATATATATATACAGTATCGAACAAAATAAGTGCAACCAAATAATGCTAATTTAGTTTCTTTATATAAAAGTGCTGTATTTTTTCAATGTAACTATGTAACTGTTTAGAGATAACGTTCTTCAAGTTTTATTCATCACAAAGTTCATTATTTGTACACGAAAATTGATAAATTAATCAAAAGTATTTAAAAAAGTTCCTTCTGGATAATAAAAGTGCAACTCCACAAAATGTTGACCAAGCTGTATTTCGCTATCAATATTTTGTAGCGAATCTTTTGTTGTCGATCACAGCCTTGCATCTTCGAGGCATTGATTTGATCAGGTGATCAGTGAAACTTTGTGGAATCGCTGCCCAGGCCTTTTGGATTTGTTCAAACAGTCGATCCTTATTACAAACACCTTCACGATTAGTTCTGCGGTTGACAATCTCCCACAGGTTCTCGATTGAGAGATTGAGGCGGCAAATTTATCACCAATAGGTGGTTGTCTTGAAACTACTGCTTGACTATTTTTGCATTGTGATTCGGATCGTTGTCTTGCTAAAAAAAAACCCATTTTATTGGCATATTCCATTCAGCATGTATTAGACCTAGACTGTTTGCAGAAAAACACCCCCAGACCATTACATTGCCTCCACCATGCTTCATGGTCTTATAGCAGTAACGTAAATCGAGGCGTTTTCTGGCCGATCGACATACACAGCAAATGCCATCGCTCTTAATCATGTTGAACTTCGATTCATCACTGAACAGGACAGTTCGCCATTTCTGCACATTCCAGTCAATATGAGATGTAGCAAACAGGAGTCTTTTCTTCTGGTTCTTTGTGAAATCAGCGGTTTCTTTGCAGTGTGTTAAGAAAACAATCCGGCTTCAACAGCGCGTCGCCTAATTATTTGGTTCGATACAGGCAGCTCTAATTACTTTTGTATCTCAACTGATGATATCCAGGGATCCTTCTTGACGAATCTGACGATCAAAGAATCCTCTCTAGAAGTGGTGGAACGTGGTCTTCCACCTTTGTTATCTGCTGCCAACTTTCCTGTAGAACGATATTTGGAACATAGTCTTGATACAGTCCATTTTTTCACGCAATATTTATGACAAATACTTTTTTGTGACATTCCACTTACATAATCGTCAATAATTTTTTTTCTTAGTTCCAATCCAAGACTGCGGGGAGCCATTTTTGCACTTAAAGTCATAAAAATAATAAAAATAAATAATCACGCTTTTCAAGGCTTACCGTGTTACATTTACCTTGTGATGATACAATAATGCTCTGTGGAACACAACATCTTGGTTGGATGTGGACTGTGTTGATGTAATGAAAGACTTGTTGTATTTCACTTCATGTATTGATGTTCTTCGATAAAACACTTTGATAAAACTCACTTTGATAAACTGTCTTGATTATACTGACTGATTGACTTCCATATACTGACTGAATTACATGTCGGTTTACATGTCTCTTATATAGTAAAATGAACCTGTGTGAACCTGTTCTAGAAGATTCTAGATGCTTCTTTTTGAAGAAGCTTCAGGATGCTTCTGAATGTATCTGGATACTTCTGGATGCTTCCAGATGCTTCTTCTGGAAACTTCTGGAAGCTTCTGCATGCTTCTGGAAACTTCTGGAAACTGCTGGTACTTCCTTTAATTATTTAAAAACTTCCGTGACATTGACACGGACCAGACTTAAGAAAATGATACAAACCAAAAAAGTTGCACATATTTTGTCTGCTGCAAAATGGCACTTCAACAAAATTCTGCCTGTGTGCTGTCACCTGTCAGCTGATTGCTCATGTCAAGGCATGCTATGACTCCAGACTCCTGTTTGCTGTGGTAGTATAGTTTGTTTCGTTTTTAAGAAATGTAAAATTAGGAGCACTTTTAAGCATTGTTCATATATATATATATATATATATATATATATATATATATATATATATATATATATATATACAAATATATATATATATATATATACAAATATATATATATATATATATATATATATATATATATATATATATATATATATATATATATATATATATATATATATATATATATACAAATATATATATATATATATATATATATATATATACAAATATATATATATATATATATATATATATACAAATATATATATATATATATATATATATACAAATATATATATATATATATATATACAAATATATATATATATATATATATATATATATATACAAATATATATATATATATATATTTACATATATATATATATATATATATATATATATATATATATATATATATATATATATATATATATATATATATATATATATATATATATATATATATATATATATATATATAAGTTATATAAATTAATTTATATATATATATATATATATATATATATATATATATATATATATATAAGTTAATTTTGTTATTATTTCTATTAAGTTGGCCTGCTGTAATTACTGCTGATCCTATTGAAGAAAATGGAGCTCATATTGATCTTTATAAAGATGGAACAGGTGATCCACATTATTACCATGTTGAGTTTTTAGGAAAACCTCGCTCTCATGCTTGGATCTTAGCTCGCTGCATTGAAAAGTATAGCATTGCTTCTACTGATTTGTTTTTTGATGCTAAAATAAAAGATAGTAAAAAGATAAAAGATCGTCTTCAATATGCCAATCAAGAAGCATCACTTATGCTTACTCTGTCACCAAAAAAAAGGTTGCAATCAATGGTGTTCAAATATAAATCTTCACATAAAAAAAAGTCTATGGTTACCCAAAAAGGTAAATATGTATATATCGTGGGGGATAGTGTAAATCCATATAAATAGGATTGCATAATAGTGCGTTGAATTTTATTCATGTTCTTTGTAATGAATTTAAATTTAGTATAAGTTTAAAAATTTTACTGACTCACTACACTCACATTTAGGCGGCTGTGTGGGTAGGGGTATACATGCACAAAGACACACACACTTATATATATGTGTGTATGTATATATATATATATATATATATATATATATATATATATATATATATATATATATATATATATATATATATATATATATATATATATATATAAGCTTGGCTAGGAAGGCGTGCGATTTTAAGTCTTTATGTGACCATGCAAATAATATTTTGTTTTGACAAATTAACCACATTTTTTAACAAATGCGCTGAAAAAATTGGTTTTTAATTACGTCAAAAATAAATAACTTTGACATGTTTATCTTTACTAACGTTTTTATATGAGCAAAACACTTTTAAATAAAGTAGCGAATGATTTTAATTAAAATATACTTGAAAGTTGTAAATTTTTTGTATATATTATTTAATTATATAAGATTTTTTTATAAGTGTAAATGAAAAAAGTAAATAATTAAAAAAAAAATTAAATTTTAAGTAAAATCACATAGTATTTGCGTGGCGTCATTGCATTTCACGTCATTGCATGACGTGAAAACGCACGCCTTCCTGGCCAAGTCTGTATATAATTGTGTATATATATATATACAGTGTATGTATATATATACAGTGTATGTATATATATATATATATATATATATATATATATATATATATATATATATATATATATATTTATATATATATTATACACACATATATATGTATATATATATATATTGTTATTATCATTTTATAAACATCAATAAATGCGATTTTCTCTTGATACTAAATTTATTTTTTAAAAGAAATTTTAGCTAGGTTGTTGTGACCAACCTAGCTAAAATTAGTTGTTGCGTCTGATCAATTTAAGACAATACTTTATCAACAGCATCCAAAAATACAGTATACTATCGAATTTGAAAATGACAAAAAAACACTAAATTTTCTAGACATATGCATAATAAATAACAAAAATATGAATTTAAAATACACAGAAAAAATACAATTACTAACATTCAAGTTAAGGCAACATCAAACCATGACCCACAAACTTTAAATGGAATATATTAGGGTTTCGTACATAGAGCATTTAATGTATGCAATCAGAATCATATAGAAAAGTATTTGTCAAAAATGGCTACAAACAGTCCATTCTCATAAAAATCATAAAAGAAATAAAAAGAAAGAATAAAAAATCACTAGTGACTACTAAAAACATTGAAAACATCACCTGTACGTATCCAACAAATACATTACCTTTGGTGTTTAGGAAGGCAGGATATAAAATAGCCTTCAAATCAAATTTAAACATTATATGTAAAATATTAACATCAAGAAATAATTTCAAACTATAAATGAACAGCTACCCAAGAGTCTACCTTATTAAATGTCATTGTAGCAAAAAGTGTATAGGTGAAACAAAAATGCAAATAGTACAATAGGAAATAAACCAGAACGATCTGCATTAGCTACACACAGGGCGGATTTAGCCTTTTGGGGGCCCTAGGCCAAAACATTTTTGAGGCCCCTTAAATAATTTAATTTTAGGGAAAAAAAATTTTCATTTTTTTATTTAAAATTTTATTATTTAAACAAAACAGTGTGAATATTGAGAATTTAATGAAAAATAAATTTTACAACATTTTTGATTTTTCTACACATTATTTTTAGTTTTAAACTTTTTATGTTTATTAAATTTTGGGGCTCCCAAATGTTGGGGGCCCTAGGCCATGGCCTAGTCGGCCTATAGGTAAATCTGGCCCTGGCCACACACACAAGACATTGTGCACAACAACTGTAAAAGTTAAAGGGATCCCTAAGTGCTCCTAACATATGATCTCATATAAAAGAGCATTAAAAAAAAAGTTTTTTTTCTTTTTCACTAAATTGTAATAATAAATGCATGCTTACAAAAAGCAATTGCCGAAATCACTGAAAAACAACTCCATTTTGATTTTATTTTTTTACCATTGAAACTCGATTGTTAGTCGTTAAAAATCACGTTAGTACGTCACAATAACTTTAGAATATCTACTTCGATTTTCAAGTAAAAAAAAGTCGTGGTTAAATATTTAAGTTTTAATCAAGTTTTTTTAATTAGTTTTGCAAGAATAGTATAATAGAATTTGGTTGAAAGATTAATTATTATATTATTAGTTAATTCTTTTTTATTAGTTTTTTATTTTAAACACTATAAAAATGCTAAGAAAAACCAGCAGTTTTTTTTACTTTAACGTTTTTAAGCCTTATTTTAAACATTCAATTTATTAAACCAAATTTTTTTGTTTCACTTTTTATTGGAAAACAATTGAAATAGAAAAATTGAGTAAGAACATCAACTTAAAAACCATTTAAATGAAAAACTTAATTATATTTAAAATTTTATTAGTCCTTTATTCAAGAAACAATAAATTATAAAAAACGTGGCATCTAATATTTGATTAAGTTTTTGGCGATGCTTTTTGATTTATTGACGATAATTTTTTAATTTATCAATTAAAACAATTTCATTTATTTGCTTCGTTTTATTTTAAACGCATTTTATGTATGTGTAACTGTATAAAACAGCAACAAAACAGCGTCACGAAATTGTTTTACATTTACTATTTATATTTTAAATACAACTTTTTGTTTCATTGTTGTTTTATAGCTTTTTACAATAACAATTAAATACTCATTAAAAACACGTGTTTTATTGTCAGCTCGATCGTATTAAACAGTTTTCTATGACTAATTAAAGTGGTTTAAATATTGCAGTGACCGATCAAGGAATTTTTGGTGGAGGGGGATGTTAAAATATTTTTGAATTTTGTACCATGTTTGCGTCTCCTAAAAAAAAAGCAAAAAACAAGGTTCTCAATTTCAAAAAACAAGGTTCTCAATATTCTCAAGACTTTCAGATTCTGGGGGAAGGGGGGATTCATACCTCCATCCTCCCCCTGGATCTGTCACTGAAATGATGTTTGCTTTTTACTCTTATTTTTTTACTTTTACTTTTTTAAGTATCATGTTAAGTAAATACTAAAAACAATTACTTAATTTTTAGTATTAAATACATTACTTGCTCATTACACTGTAACTTCAACTTAAACTTTAAATTATGAATTAAGCTGTAAAATATAATAGTAACTTACGCTATTTTAAGCTCTGTTGAACAAGAAAATGATAAGATAGCATTTAAATATGAGAGATAGTATGTTAAAAAATAACATTTAGGTGCTAAAGAGACAATTTTATACTAATGCAACCCCCTCCTCCCATTACCGCACATCGGCGCGAGCTATAAGTGAGGGGGGAGGGAAAGCAAAAAAATTTTTTTCACGATTAGATTTTTTTGCGTTAATTCAAGCCCTGTCTTAGTTTAATTTCTAATAAAATGTCTACTCAACCTTATCAATTTTAACCAAAAAAATATAGGAAAATTAACATAAATGTTAATTTAACTAAAACATTTTACAATAATTATTTTTTTTATCAAGCAAAAATGAGAGTAACTGTCACTTTTGAAACCATAAAAATGACTGGAATAAATTTATTTTTGTACTAAGGAAATATTTTAAATAAACTTTAATGTGTCTAGATCAATATTCATTTGTTAAAAACTGACTAAAAAGAGTTTAAACTTTGACTTCTATTCATTTTTGGCCGTGGAATTGCCCTTATAACACAAATATATAAATAAAAATTATAAAAAAAATTTTAATATACAAATATGTTTTTACAAAATGCTACAAAACTTATTCTTGTAAGTAATTATGTGTTAGTTGAAAAAAAATGACTTTACTTTTAAATTTAATTACCAACTAATACGTTTGCAATAATGACATTTTGACTACTTTGTTTAATTTGACGTACAAACGTTAGTTTAGAGTCAATAAACTTTGGACAAGGCACATTTTTTTTAATCGAAGAAAAGCGTTTTTTTGAAAATTAAATTTGTTTGTGTGTGTTCATTATTACTTTTTAGAAAAAATAGTATACATCAAACTTTTTTTTTTTTAATGCTCTTTCATATGAGAACATATCTTAATAGCACTTAAGGATCCCTTTAAGCTAAAAAAGTTGATAGAAAAGTCTGTGAGGCACTTGAAATACAGTACCACCAATGTGCCCCTCAACAATATGGTATCAATTTAGATGAGGGACAATATGTGTCAACAAAATTTCGGACACCATTTCTAGGGCACTTACATTAGAAAAAGATAAATCCATCCTATTGACATAAGATAGAAATGTAGTTTTAAAAATAAGATATGAACAAAAACAAACAAAAAACTTTTAAGCTGAAAACACTGGTCACAACAATCCAGTGAAAATTTATTAAAAAAAATAAATTTAGTGTCAAGAAAAATTCATATTTATTGATGTTTATAAAATAATAATTTGTATACTCTCATACATATATCTCATATATATATATATATATATATATATATATATATATATATATATATATATATATATATATATATATATATATATATATATATATATGTATATATATGTATATATATATATATATATATATATATATATATATATATATATATATATATATATATATATATATATATATATATGTATATATAATATTGTTTAATGTATGTAATAAATTAATAAAACAATATAAAACTCTTATTGGAAAAAAAGTGCTCAATGTTAACTTATTTATTTTTATATATAATTTTTAAAATATAACAATTTATAATTAAAAATGAAAAACAATAAACCTTATATTTTGAAACTTTAAGTTTCATGCATAATATCAGTCATCAGCAATGAAATACAAAATACAAAATAAACATTAATATTACAATAAAAATTGTGGTGGTGTGAGTTCTTATAAATCCATAGAGACAAATATATATATA